ATCTACACAATTGGAAATGAATTATTAGTGGCAATAATGATCGTTTACTGAGCGCCTAATATGTCCCAATTCCTTTATATACTTTTGACATTGTATCTCTCAGAATCCTACAACGTACTTGTTTCCATACTGCTACACTTTTTTTAAGGACTCCCCTAGAACACATTTCTATTTTACTTTAGCTTGTATTCTATCATTTGTTTAAGCAGTAGATCTTCCAAATAATTAAAATTACATAATAATTAGAAATATGAAAAGGTCTAGACCTATCACAGAAAAGTATCTACAGTCTCCAGTCTCTACAGGACAAAATATACAGGATTTTTTTTTTTTTGGTGGTTTGTTTTGCAAACTGGGAATGGAACCCAGGATCTGGTTCATGCTATGCAAGCACTCTACCATTCAGCTGTATCCCCAACCCTTAATGTTCATTTCTGAGAAGTCTCTGGGGACAGATTCCATAACCTACAGAAACAAGTTCTGTTGTTGAGCATTATAATCAATAATATGTACTTATTTATTATTTTAATTGATTGCTATCTTACTTTACTCCGTAATAAATTTCTCCTTTGCGTTTAGTCAAAATAATTTTTACTTAAATCTAGCCTTCTGTGGACTTCATCATACATCAGAATACCATCATCATCTATTAACAATCTGTCATCTCAGTTTCTTTTTTTTTTTTTTGTACTGGGGATCAAACTCAGGACCTTGTGCCTTTGAGGCAGGAGGTGGCGCCACTGAGCTAAATCCCCGGCCTACATCTCAATTTTTTTATTGCAATAAAAATTATGAGTAAGTTTTGTGCTGCCCTCCACCCAGTTTTTCCCTAGGTTCAGTTTATTGAGTAGCATCACTAGTGGAAAGATTACTTTAGAGGTCCTGGTATAGAATCATCTTTGTATTTTATTTAACGGGCATCAAATCTATACTAGATTTTTAAGTTTATTCTAGATTCTGAACTTCTCTTCTTCCTTTCCTCCCTCTTTTACTTTCTGCCTTCCTTTCATTTTCCTTCCTTCTTCTTCCCTCCTATCTATCTATCTATCTATCTATCTATCTATCTATCTATCTATTGCCATGCTCCTGGCATTGTGACCTTTTAAACATCATCTATTTAATCCCTGTAACAGGTCTACATGGTTGGTATTATTCCCATTTTACAAATGAAAAATCTGAGTCCTGAAGAAGTTGCCAAAGATCACAAAGCTAGTAAGTTAGAGGAGCCAGATTCAAACCCAGAGGTCTAACTGCAAAGGCCATTCTCTAGTTGCTATGTTAAACTGCCTCTCAATGAATGAATCCTACTATCAGTTTGCTTTTAAAATTACGTATGTAATCAATTGTATAATAAAAACATCTACCAATAGCTACCACAAATAATAACACCTTTACTCAACTATGCTCAAACTGTAGTGCCCCCCATCCTGTTGTAGAAATAAAATACTACTGTTCATACAATTTTTGAAATTTACTCTTTTAGCTTATAAATCCTTATTAGCCATATACCCCTTTGATTGAAATTCTGCCTATTGCTTTTTCTGAAAATCTATTTTTTCACTAAATTAACATACTATTTTCTAGCCATTCCTCTACCAGTAGTAATTTGAATTACTTAAGATTTTAACTAGGATGCATTGTGTTTTAACAAGCTATTTTCAGTTATTCTGTGACATGTATTCTCCTAAGTCAAGGGGTGTAATCATCTGTAGCCAGAATTGCCCCAAGTCATTCTGCAGAAAGCTCCTCACAATTTACAGCGACATCATAAACACTGTAGACAGCCAATGAAAAGCCAACTGGTAATTGGTTATCTTGTATTTCTTTATTATTATTGAGGTTGATCCCTCTTCAAGAATTTGTCTTCTGGAATAAATTTTTTGTTCCTGTTCTTAAATCATTTGTTAATTGGATCTTTAAAAAATTCCCACCAGGGGCCAAGGATTTAGCTCAGTGGCGCTGTGCTTGCCTCGAAAGTGCAAGGTCCTAAGTAAGATTCCCAGTACAAAAAAAAAATCCCACCAGCTACTTATATATAATTTATTATTCTTCTATTCTCAACCAGTTTCATGCATACTATGTATGTATGTATGTAAAATGATTTATTTGGCAGATATTTGTAATTTTTATGCCGCTTGGAATTATTCCCCTGGAACTCCATAATTTCACAGTTCTCTGATCAAATATCACTTCCTTGAAAGCCTTCCCTTGACCATCCATGTAAAATATCCTTCTGCCTTCCTTAAATCTCCTTCTGTCCCATCCCCCTTACAGCACATTCCAGCTGGCAAAATATATTTTATTTGTTTACAATCTACCTCCTCCCCTAGAATAAAACACTTCAAGAAACAGCGACTTGATTATTTTTACTGCCATGTCCCCAGAGCCTAGCATTCATTAAATATTGAGTGAATGAATCAGACTTTGGCATTGAAAATTTTGTTGCTTTAGTGGACAAGAAATGAACTCTGTGACTGAGGCAAGGATACCACTCCATTTTCTTCAAGCTTACTTTAGTTTGTTTTAAGATAATTTATCCTTAGTATTGTCTTGCATTTTCTTTTTACTTTTTGTGTGCTTCTTCTTTTTTGTTTTTTTTTGAGACAGGGTCTCACTATGCAGCCCAAGTTGGCCTTGAACTTGTGGCAATCCTCCTGCCTCAGCCTACAAAGTGCTGGGATTACAGGCCTGTGCCACCACACCCAGCTCCAAGAGTGATATTTTTAAATTTGTATTTTTTCTTTATATTTCTTTGTCCTATTATAATTGCTAGAACCTCTTAAATTATATCACATAGGAATATTCATGGGAATATTCTTAATTTATCCTGTTTTAAATGCCACAATTCTAGAATTTTTTTCCTTTCCTTTTTATTTCCTTTCCATTTTCTTTTCCTTTTCTCCTTCCCCTTTCCTTTCCTTTCCTTTTCTTTTGTGCTGGGAAAATCTAACCCAGGGTTCATGCAAGTGATCTACCACTGAGCTATACCCCCAGCCCTAGAATTTCTTCACTAAAAATAATTAATAGTGGCTCTGGTTTAAAGTAAATATTCTTTATTGTGATAAAGGGCAACTCACTGCTATGTGGATATTTTCTGTTATCAAGTATACAAATTTTTGACTAGGTATGGTGGTGCATACCTGTAATCCCAACATTCTGGGAGGCTGAGGCAGGAAAATCACAGGTTCCAGCCCAGTCTCAGTAACTTAGTGACTTAAGAAGACCCTTTCTCAAAATTGGAAATTTAAAAAGGGGTGGAGATGTAGCTCAGTACGAAGGCCCTAAGTTCAATATCCCCAGTACCGGGGGGAAGAAAGAAAAGAAAAGAAAGAAAGGGAAAATTGTCAAATGTGTCTAAGTATCAAGAGTATTACCTGCTTTTCCATATTTATATGATTAAGCTTTCTTGATTTTACACTAAGCTTGATATATATATATATATACACACACACATATATATGTATATATATTTGTCTCCTGAGGTTCTAAGAATTTAGGATTTATTATCACAAATAGGATTAACCTGGAATTTTCTTTCTTGTAGCAATTTTGGCTTTAGAAGCCAGGCCGGTTATTTGCTTCAGGAAATTAGAACAAAACATTTTCCTGGTATTTTTATATTTAAAAGAAAACATTACATAAAATAGAGACAATTCTAGAGTATCTTAAAACTGTCCAATAAATGTCAAAACTATGTCTTTTTCTTTAGTGGGAGTTCTTTGGTAATTATTTTCTATTTCTTCAAATTCTCAATTTTTTATTGTGCCAGTTTTTGCCATCTTGTATATTTGTTAGTTGTTTACTAAATTTAGGGTTTCCAAGCCTTTAAAGCAGAATTGTATAAAAACTTTCTCAATAACATTTTATTGTTATTCTTGTAAGTTGATGTAACACCTTTCAAATTTTCACTTTTACTTTTAAAAAAATAAGCCAGTTTGTTTTAAGAAAATAAGACAGTTTTGTTTTTCCCTGCGAAGAATCAACCAAGTTCTGTTTAGCACATTAAATTCTTTAAAAGTTTTCTGGTTCATTTTTTAGGTTAATTTTTCATTTTTCTTATTTTCTCCTGCCCTATTCCTTTTTATATTTCTTTAAAAAGTAGACATAATTAATTACATTCCTTATTTTCATTCTTACTAATGTAAGTATTTTTCTTTTTCATTTTTTTCTTTTTCAAGACAAGGTTATCCAGGGGCCGGGGATTTAGCTCAGTGGTTCTGCCGCCTGCCTTGCAAGCGCAAGGATTCGAGTTTGATCCCCGGGACCAAAAGAAAAAAAAGACAAGATTACCCAGGCTGGTGTTGAACTTCCGGGGCTCAAGTAGACCTTCTGCTTTAGCCTCCTGAGGAGCTGGGATTATAAGCATGCACCACTGGCTTCATCCTATTAACATAAGTATTTAGATCTTTTTTCTTTTTAGGTGCTAACTCAGAATGATCAGATTATAAAACTACAGTACTCACATTTAGCATGGAATCAAGTTTTCAATAAAGCCATTGCAATTATGAAATAGTTTTTAAAAATTACTGCAAGTTCAAAGTATGGAGAAATATGGAGATATAGAGAGGATATAGAGAGAAAATAGGGAAATATAGAGATAAAAGAAAAAGTACAAACACTCTAGAACTCAATGTTCCAACTCCAAAAAGTGAACACTGTGTGATTCCAGTATATTTCCTAAAGCACTCAATTGGTACCAAGCCAACAGCTGGAAAAATGAACTGGTTATGGGCTGGGGATTTAGCTCAGTGGCCCCAAGCCTGGCTTTCAAGCACAAGGTCCTGAGTTTCATGTCCAGTACCAAAAAACCCCCAAAAAACTGGTGTAAGAAGCTGGTGTGTAATGAAATTCAGCCAAGTTTGAACCAAATGTAGATAGTTACAAGTTGACTATATGATCGCTCATTTACACTGTATCTGAGTTACAAGAACTTTAAAGCACACATCTATTTACATTACTTCCCATTTAGAATTCTCACTGTATTTTCCAAACTCACCTACCTGGATTCAGTTTTGAAAGCTGTGTTTTTAAAATCAGTCTTCATTTCTTCAGAGGTTTCATTGCTCATCTCTTTGGATATGTTTGTCTCATTTTTTATTGGAGTCAAGGAAGTCTGAAAACATCTTTCACCTTTGAAAGTCAGTGTTATGTTTGAGATCGTAACATGTTTTGAGGTTTGTTTGAATTCACTTTTACTTCTTGTATCTCGTAGACATCCAGGCTTCAGAAAATTTTCTACTTTTTCCTTTGAAAATAACAAGCAGAGCAAATCAGTAATAAAAAAGCACCATACAGTAATAGATCATTTATGGGGCAGGATATAGCACAGTAATCATTTCCTTTATACTTACTGAGAGGTCACAGGTACACTCCCAGGGAATGAGGCCCAGACTGGTGTCAGAGATGCTGGTCAGGGAACCAGGGCCTGGCCCACTGCAGCCCCACCAGTGCATCCTCAACCTCATGCTGTTAGACAACAACTTCATTTCCCACAAGACAATTAGCACTTAATTTTAGCTCTTCTTGTCTGTGATTTGTGGAGGGGCAAGACAGGCTTTCTAGAAATGCCTTGCTTTCTGCACCTCAGCCTGAGGTTGCTTTTATGAGCATCAAATTGGTGACGATTACTTGGGGTTCATAATAATAATAGCGTTTCAAAAACCTTAGAGCCTATACTTGAAACCTCATACTGAGAAACCTCTTTTCTTAATTTCTGGTATCTGTTAATGTGCCACGTCTCCCAGTCACTCACTGGCAAGGCGGAATCTCTCCCGGGGCTGCCAGAGCAATTGGTCCGTGCCCTAAGGCCTGTGCCTCTAATGTCCCTCACAGCTGCGTTTCTTTCCTCCTATTGCCCTGCCTGATTTATTATCTTTATTAACTTTTCTTGAAAACAATGCAATAATTATATTTCTTAAAAATAAAAGTTAATTTTTTCTTAAAATAAATGGAATACACACTTATAATAGAACATTTGGAAAATCTCCTAAGGAATAAAATGAAGGGTAGAAAATTATTCTTTGTATGATATTATTGCCCAGAAACAACTATTCCTCTGGCATGATTATTTCTGTCTTTTTGTTCATTTATTTCTCACTGTTGTGAGATCATTTTGAAGTTGTCTCCAACATTTTTCACCCAATGTTTTATTATAAACATTTTCCTCTGTCACTAAAATTTGTATAAAACTGCTTAAATTTTCCAAATTAAAAATTGCTTATCTTTTTTGTAGGAAAGAGGAAATTAAGAAAAGTATGACTAAGACATAAACTGCCCACAAACCCATAATCTAGAGATAAACTGCTAGTCACACAATGGATTTTTTCTTTAATATGTGTGTAAATACATTTTTACATCCTGGAGGTTTTATTCTTCATTTTTACTTAATCTTCTGTCATGAAAATTTTTCCAGGCCAAGAAACATTCTTCAACAGAATAGCAATTGATTTAATAAATTTTTATTGAGTGCCTATGATTTTGCCAGATGATAGCTCCTGAACAAGATAAATAATGACACCTGCCCTTCATAGGTTTAACTTTATTTAGCCATTCCTGGTGGATGATTAGGTTGTGTCCATGCTCTCATTAATTCATTATTATCGCACGGTACAGACATAGTGTGATTAACAACAGATGTCCCTGTTTGTTTGGTGCTGGGATGGAACCCAGGCCTCGGGCATGCTAAGCACTCTCTCTCCAACTGAGCAACACCCTCAGCCCATAATCAAAATCTCTGTAACTAAATCTTCATTCCTGTCAAAAGGTATAGATATTTTTTAGGGTTTTTAAATTTATAATCATTTCAAGAAAGCTGAGGCAACCACTGTGGAAATCAGTATGGAGATACCTCAAAGAACTAGGACTACAGGTCCCATTTGACCCAGCTATTCTCCTACTGGGGATCTTTCCCAAAGAATTAAAAGAATCATACCACAGTGATATATGTGCACCTATGTTTATAGCGGCACACTTTGTAATAGCTAAAGCTTGGAAACAGCCCAAGTGCCCATCGACTGGAAACTGGACAAAGAAGATGTGGTTTTTTTATAAAATGGAGTACTACTCAACCATAAAGAATGAGAAACTAGAGACATTTATAGCTAAATGGATGCATATTGAGGCCATACTCTTAAGTGAAATAAATAAGACACACATGTGTAAATACTGAATAGTTTCTCTAGTGTGAGAAATTGAAAGTGTAAATAAGGATGAAAATGATTAAAATCAATAATTGATAATTTGAAATAAGAAAAAGTCCAAGGGTTTGGGGATGGTGGAAGGGAAAGAAAAAAATTATGAGAAAAAAAAATGGAATCAAACTCTGTGTAGATAGGGAAGGGTGGAGCGGGTGAAGGGTGCACAGGTAATGGGAGAAAAAATAAAAACTAAGATACATCATGTTCTGGTACAAACACCCAATGATAAACGTAAATGTATTTTATACCTAAAATGTACCAATAAATATATATATATTTTTTAAAAGGAAAGCTGAGGCAACTCTCCTCTATACCATGAATCTGTATAAATTTCCAGTTAACTACACCTTTAGTGACATTGAAAGGTTTTATTTTTTAATTGACAGTTACATTGGTTAACAGGTTACATCGGTCATAGGTACAAAGCTACAGCTGGATGGGAGGAGGAAGCTCTGGTGTTCTATTCCACAGCATGGTGGTTATAGATTAAAAAAATAAAAGTGGACTTAAAGCTTTTTCTCTTTTAATTTTTATTTTTTTAGTACATGTTTGCAGTTCATGCAGTTTACAATCATCCTGGGGAGTGGTTAATGTGCATACCATAGCTTGTTTTTTTTTTTAAGGTCTCCTTCCCCTTCCCTCCACCTCGCTGCCTCCTCCTCCTATTCCCCTATTTCATTTTTCATTCTTCTTGATATTATTAATCTTAGCTCATGTTGTGGCATACAATGTTTGCCTTTATTGAGGTTATTAGGTTCCTGTACATGGTACAATATACCTTTATTCTACTTATTTTCCCTTCCCTTCCTCCTCACCCCTTGCGCTTTTTCCCTTGGACCACTTCCCTAATGCAAGAGATCCATCTCTTTGTCCCCTTCTACACATGCTTATTATTTTCTGTTTGTTACTTTGGCTCACTTAAATGAGAAATATAATATGGTATTTAAGCTTATGTGTTTGGGTTATTTCACTCAGTATTAAATTTTTCAAGGGCATCCATTTTCCTATAAATGTCTCAAATCTGTCATTTTTTATAGCAGAGTAGTATTCTATTTTATATAGATACTATATTTTCTTTATCTAATCTTCTGTTGATGGGCATATGGGCTGCTTCCAGGATTTAGCTGTTTTGAATTGTGCTTCTATAAACATTGGTATGCATGTATTGCTGTAATATGATGCCTTCAGCTCTTTGAGGAAGATACCTAGCAAGGGGATCACTGGATCATATGGAATTTCTCATTTCAGTTCTTTGAGAAATCTGCATGCTGATTTCCATAATGGTTGTACTAGTTTACATTCCCACCAACAATGTAGATGGGCTCCTTTTTCATCGCAGCATCGCTGGCATTTGTTATTGTTTGATTTCTTAATGATCGCCATTCTTTCTGGAATAAGATGGAATCTTAGTGTTATCTTAATTTGCATTTCTCCGATGGTTTGAGATGTTGAGAAGTTTACCACATGTTTCTTGCTTGTTTATTTTTTTGATTTTTGAGGCAGGGTCTCACTATGTAGTTCAAGCTATCCTTGAACTCACTATGGAGCCCAGCCTGGCCTTGAACTCATGACTATCCTCCTGCCTCAGCCTCCTGAGTTCTGGGATTACAGGCACATGCCACCACGCTGGGCTGTATCATATATTTATTGACCATTTGTCTTTCTTCCTCTATGAAGTGTCTGTTCATTTCTCTTGCCCATTTCTTGACTGTATCTTTAATTTTTTTTTTTAGTTCTTTGTATATTATAGCTATTAGTCCTCTGTCTGAGAAGTAGCTGGCAAACATTTTTTCCCATTCTGTAGGTTTTTCCTTCACTCTACTGATTAATTCTTTTGCTGTACAGAAGCTTTTTAGTCTGATATAATCTCATTTGTTGATTCTTGCTGTTATTTCTTGTGCAATTGAGGTTCTGTTTAGAAAATATTTTCCTACACATATGTCAAGTGTTTTACCTTTTTTATCTTCCCATAGGTTTAATGTTTCTGTTTTAATATTTAGACCTTCTATCCATTTTGATTTTAATTTAGTGTATGGTGAGAGAAGGGTCCAACTTCAATCTTCTGCACACAGACAACCAGTTTTCCCAGCACCACTTGTTGAATAGGCTGTCTTTCCTCCAGCGTATGCTTTTGGCCCCTTTGTCAAAGATTAAATAGTTGAATATCTCTGGGGAAATTTCTGTATTCTCAATTCGGTTCCATTGATCCATATATCTCTTTTTATTTCAGTATCATGCCTTTTTTAAAAATCACTATTGCTTTGTAATATAGCTTGAAGTCAGGTATTGCTATCCCTCCTGTTTTACTCTTGTTGCCCAAAGTTGCTTTTGCTCTTCTGGATCTTTTCTGGTTCCAAATGGATTTTAGGATTGTTTTTTCTAGATCTGTAAAGTATGCTGTTGATATTTTGATTGGGACTGCAGTGAATCTGTATAACAATTTTGGGAGTATGACCCTTTGGACAATACTGATTCTGTGTATCCAGGAGCAGGGGACATCTTTCCATTTTCTGATGTCCTCTCCAATCTCCTTTTTCAGAGAACCATAGTTTTCTTTGTACAGTCTTTCATTTCTTTGGTTAGGTTAATTCCTAGGTACTCCATTTTTATTGAAGCTATTGTGAATGATATTTTCACAATTTCCTTCTCATCCTGTTCATTGTTGGTGTACACAAATGCTAATGATTTTTGTGAGCTGATTTCGTATCCTGTTACATTGCTGAAGTTCCCTATTACTTCTAAGAGTTTTTTGGTATTCTTTGGGTCTTCTATGTAAAGTATCATGTCATTGTCAAATAATGATAATTTGAGTTCGTCCTTTCCTATATGTATCTCTTTTATTTCTTTCTCTTGCCTAATTTCTCTGGCTAATGTTTTAAGTACCATAGAAGAGGTGATATGATGGTGGACATCCTTGTCTTATTTTTTATTTTAGAGGGAATGCTTTTAGTTTCCTCCCATTTAGCATGATGCTGGCTATTGGTTTGTCATAAGTAGCCTTTATCATATTCAGAGATGGTCCTTCTATACCTGTTTTCTTCAGTTTTTT